GTAACATAAAGAAAATAATTTTATTTACTTTAATAAGAATTATTTAGATATTGTTTAGGCTCCAATATTCGTTCGGCTGGAAAATACTGCATTTTGAAAATAAACCTTACATTACCACGGAATAGCTAATGCAAATTAGTAATTAGGATTAACGATAGTTCGCAATCAAGATATTTTAAATTTATATAAAAAATTCATACATATGATATTTATAAATGGATAAAAGCCATTGCTGAAATGTATGTATTAGAAAGACTCGATATCTAAATGAACAGTAGTATGTATTCAAAGAGCATAACTCATTCTTTGTTATCGAAAATTAACTTCAACTTCTCCGGACAAGTATGTAAGTTGGGTAGCGAGTGGTATAAACCATTTTTTCCAAATCAGTGGAAAAAATGGGAAAAATTCAATTTTTACCACCCACTAAAATTAGTGGAAATGGGAAAAATTTGAAAATTATTTACTACTTACATGTGTGTATGTATTGCGCTAGGTGGTGCTAGTTTTTGTTGCTATGGTTTTTTATGTCCTGCATGTCATGTGGTTTCATAGGTTCCATTGCATTTTACGAATTTCTGCATTATGCGGCACAATTGCAATTTCACGCGCACCAAACGAAGCAATAATTTATTTTTATGTTCGTATGTATATGTATATTGTGTCTCTAACCTAAATACAGTATAAAAGATGTTATCAGACCCCACCACTTTTTCCATGGGAATTTTTATAACGTCTAAACCGCTTCATGGAATTGAACGAAATTTTGCACATTGTGTAAGTATTAAATACTCGATTAATTGAGATAAGCATTAATCTGCCTGAGTGACATGTATTTATTATATACATACAGAGAAATTAAAATAATCTCCGTCAAAAAAGTAATCAGACCCTCAATAAATTTGCAATTAATTGTTTTACATTTCATATTTTAACAATATTTCACCAGTACTAGTACTTGGTATGTCCACCTTTAGCCTTCAGGAGGACCACGACATGTCGTGGCATTGATTCCATCAAAGAGTTTGTAAATGATGTGTCGAGTTGTTCCCACTCCAGTTTGATCGCTTCCTCAATCTTTTTAAATTTCCAGGATTGCGTTTGGCCATTTTTGGTTTGATAATTGACCACAAATGCTTAATTACGTTCATGTCAGGAGACTGTGGAGGCCAATTAAGAAATTTAATGTTACTAGAAGTGAGCCAATTCTTCAATAAGTTTGAACTCTGATCACGGTCCCTGAACCGTTAAACTATGAAATTGTTTCCCAGCTGAAGCGTGTTTCTAGATGTTATCAAATTTCTTTCCAGAATATCGCGATAGTAGTTGGAGCCTATGATACCATTCATAATTTCAAAATTTCTGACCGCTTTCTAGGATATACATACCCAAACCTTACGACTCTCACCACCATCTTTTACCGTAGGCTAGCAATATTTCGTTTCATCGGCGTTGTCGTATTTTCTCCACACTCGTGTCACCCCATCAGCACCGAATAGGTTAATCTTGGTCTCTTCGCTCCACGAAACCCGTTTCCAGTCTGACACGGTCCAAGGTCCGGACTTTTTTGCCCATGCAAAACACTTTGCAATATGACCCCCTGTTGAGAATGGTTTTTTCCGTACAGATCTGCCCCTAAATCCTACTTGATGGATGCGATTTCTTGTAAGTTGGGCAGAAACATCAAGTCCACATTCTCCCGTCATTGCAACAGTCAAAACTGGTGCAGATAACTTCGTATTTTGTTCGATTTTTAAGATTATATGACGATCCATCCTTCCCGCGGTGCATTATGACCGACCAAGTTTTGGTAAACTCGCCACGGTGCTAAATTTTTTGAATTTTTTTATGATGCATTCAACTATACCCTTGTGTATCATAAGCTTTTTGGCAACCTTTTTATATCCAAGTCCCTTCTCGTAACGTTTGACGACGTTTTCTCGAAGTCCAAGATAAATATTTTTTCCACGAATTCTGTATAAATTGTATTGCAAATTAACACTATGGCAGGTTCTACAATAATTTACGGTTGAAGGATGATTGCCTACCTGACAAATTATGCTGAATTTTATAAAAATATGAAGGAGATATTTGCAGGAGCACAAAAAACACGCAGGGTCTGAAAACTTTTTTGACATGCGAATTTTACAAATCACCCCTTCGTGTCTCAATTTGACCCGTTGGATAATCCAGGAATTAATTAATCTGTACCTTACTTCAAGGTGAATAAATATGCAAAATTTCATCCAATTCCATGAAGCCGTTCTGATGTCATAAAAATTTGTATCGGAAAAGTGTTGGGGTCTGATAACATCTTTTATATATGTACTGTACATACGTATATATAAAAATTAAGGAGCAATTGTTCAAGCATATGTAAATATTGAAAGCACGTCCGATAAATCGCTCTGACCCATGGCTAAACTGTAGTACGCGAATATCGTAATGAACGCCATTCCTATTTCTATTAAATGCCTTTTAAGAGAGTGGATATTACACATACAATCAATCCCCCTGGCATTAATGTCACAACCAGCCTGAACTCCGTCGGTAATTTCTCAAATAATCGTTTTTGCTGTATGTAGCGAAGTTTTGAGAGGGGTGTGCCATACGTGCACCCTCGTGGCGTAACTTTTTATCATTTTGTTTTTGTATTGCATAAATCCAGGTTCAATTCCCACGCATTTAAGTTTTTCCTCCTTTTATTTTTTGCTATTTGTTTGTTAAAATGTAAAATAGGCATGTAAATGCAAAAATTCGAGTAGTTGTGACATTACCTCATTTTAAAAATCATTCTTCCTAGTCCCTTCCGGTAAATTTAAAAAAAATTATACATCGTTTTAACAAAAACCATATGTGATAACCGTTTAACACCGACAAATTAACTTTAAACTTTACTTTTCATTGCAGAAATTGCAAAATTTGAATTTAATTTGTATCCCTCAAAAACTGGTTGGCAACTTTTATGATTTTTTTAGCAAAAGGCGTGCAATAAAAAAATATTTAAAAATTGACACATATTTTCATCAAATTTATCCACGTATTTTGTGCACCGCCAATTGGCAGAAACGTGACCGCGACGGGGAATGCTGTTCAGACTGGTGTGACGTAAGAAGTGACAAGATCCGCAGGCCGTGCATAATGTACGGTACATCATAAACACATAAATACTCGCGGAATTGATGTCAGGGTCAGGAGTGGACTAATTTTATAAATGACTCCACGGTTCCTTTAAACAGGAAAATTGCAGAGTATGTGAACACGTTCGGATCTTTTTCTTTTCCAAATAAATATCAGAATCATGCAATTAATATTAGCTAATTATTATGTTATTAACTTACCAACAATTTAAGGATAACAAAGCATATTCTCGGTATCTTCCTACATACAAACTTAACTGTATGTATTGACTGGAAATCATTATTATGTTATCGCATTGATCAATGTAAGGATTGAGTCATAAGTTGTGGGACTGTGTTTCATGTACTCATACATACATACATACATACGCTAAGGAAAACCAATATTTTGTTTGATTTCTTTCACGTTAGATACTTCACGTTATGTTTAAACCGATTTACATATGTACATAGTAACAGAATTTAAAGTCAAGAAGGTTGGCAACTGAACCGTCTAAAACGATAAGGCTAAAAACCAAGCCCCCCCCCCCAAAATCGAGTGGTGCACCTTTGCAGAAACGGTGACAACATGGCAATAATATGTATGTCGTGCCACCACTTCAAAAATGATAACATTGCAAAACTCTCGTATATATCATGTGAATTCATGTACTATAAAATTAGCCAACAAAAATCCTAAAATGCCCCCAATGTCCTTCAAGCTAATCAATTATCTGTAAGATTTCTGGCCTTGTGTAAGAGCAAGTTTTCATGACGGCACGGAAAAACGTCACGTTTTAAACGTGCAACGATTTCGACGTGTCATGAGTCAAATAGTGCAGAATGTGGCGACAGAGTCATGAAATTTACCATGCTTTGAACAACAGGCGAGAAAGTTGATACGAAAGGACGACCGATAGTACAAACACCGTTTAGTTGTATGTTTACAATCGAATTTGTGATAGTGATAGATTTGCAAATTTGTTAAAATTTCAACTTCAACACTATCAACTTTCGCGCTCCGTAATAAAATGGTTTTATATGTTCCAGAACTTTTGACTCAATCCACACATATGCAAATATGTATCTCGAACCGACCTTTGCATCAACGCGTGCATTAATTTAAATCAATATTAATTAATTGATTATGAATACACTGTAAGAAACTGGGTATTGATTCTAAAAAGAATTTAATACCAACATCGCAGTATTAAGTTCATAGCACAATTTCGGTATTGAAACAATACTACAAGTTAAAACCAGACGTAACATTTTCAATACCGAGAGAATTTGTATAGATTTTACTGCCCATGGTATTGAAAGACTGCAATATTGGTATTGATATAATACCAAATTTTCTTGTCTCATGTTTGGCCGTTACACGACGCTCGCCCGGGAGCCAGTAGTGACTCTCCTTCATTTCATTCTCCTTTATTTTTTTCCATAATTTTTTTCACAATGAGTTCTACTAAACTAGTTCGGGTTTCAAATAATATTAGGGGCAAGAAATTAATTTCATCCGACGGAAATTTTGAAGAATTTCTATCATCAGGTAAGCAAACATATCCTTACACTATTTTTAAACAGTATTTATTGGGATTTATTAAAGTTTTGCGAACTTTTTCTTTGTATTTATTAGTAAGAAGCAAATTTGAGTTGGATGAAGCAGAAAATATTACTTTCGTGGATGAATACGGTGCCGAGGTGGACTCTGATGTTTTCCCAATTTTGGTCAGCCTAGATGGGATTCAAAATATCATATTCAAGCTAGAAGAAGAGTCGTCAGTATTGGAAATTGACCTAAGCTACAATAATACATCGTAATCAAGTTATTGTAAGTCTTTTTCGAATAAACACTTCTAGTCTAGTATATTACCATTTTCAGTTTTTAAGCTATAACTGTTGAGGAAATTCCATTGAATAAGTGTGATATTTTTTTAATGAGTGAAAGTTATCGTACTAATATGCAATAATATTTGTCTGTAGTTTTACCTGCGGCAGGAAATATTGGGCTTTCTCAATCGTTTGGAATAGGGGATAATTTTAAACAAGTACAGTACATACTTAGTTAATTGTGCCAGATTATTATAACAACTTTACTAACTATTATTTTAGATTCTCCAAACCACGGTTCAACAAAACAATGTAATACACGGTATTGTCGAAGATTGCAAGAGTAAAGGCTTCGTGGACGATAAATCTTCGACAATTCTCATTAATGAATTTGTGTCAAAACTTATAGAGATAAAGGGGTAAGGATATAATAAACAGTTTGACCTGAATTTTTATTTTATATTTATTGCAACTAATTTATCCAATTCCAGAGACTCACCTGCGACGTCGGTGCAAAAACAATTCGCCGCAGCAATTGTTGAAATTCTCCCCTGCTGGCGTTATTCTGGCTCAAAAGATGGCTTGGTATGGTAATTTTTTTGTGTAATTAATACATAAATGCGCTAATTAATATGTTATATTACATGTATATGAATAAATTTATTTTAATTAATTTCAGGACATTTTATTTGACGAAGTCAGCCGGTCTGGACTTATTCAGACCAGATTGAGACGAATTCATCAAATTCTCCACACGTCTCAAAAAGTGAATTCTGCAAAAAAAACAAAGAAAAGATCTACTGGTGGCCCCTGCGTTAAAACAGCAAGAAACGAAGAGCCAGCTGACGACCAACAATATGAGAGTTTAATTCTTCTGCTGAACGGGACATGCGCAAAAACAGGAAAAGAAAGATTAAAAGAATTAATTACTAACACTTATCATCACAGGAATTATCTGAGGCAAAGCAACCCACAGTCTATTTTTCTCCACTACAAAAAATTCAAAGAATGCGATTTTATGGTAAAAAATATCACATAACCGTTGGAAATGAAAGTTATGAAAATTATTAACTAATTTGGAAATTATTTTTTGTAGATTTCGTTTGAGTTCTCACTGATGAAGGAAGAATCGCAACACAACTTTACAAATTCATGGCCAGTATTTTCATCAAAACTACTAATTAAAGCTAAAGAGTTTAATTCGTCACCTGCTGTAACCAAATATTTAGCTGAGGAATCGGGTATAAGTTAAAATAATATAACTTTTTTTTCCTTATCAGAATAAATTAAATAAATTTTTGGCATGACTTTACAGATCAGTGGGATCAATCTTTAGCTGCTCTGTTTTTATTATTACATTTAATTCCCCCCGCGGCGCAAGGGAAGGCGAAGGGAAGTCGCAGCAAAACAACGTGTGCACAGATGTTGATGGTCTCGTATTACAAAGTATTTTTGTGCATAGACATTTTGTGATATTAAATGGTTTTAATATTGCGATATTTCAAATATGTTAAGAAAATTACCTAAATTTATTTAAATCTATTTTAGAGCGGAACACCCCTCAATTCAATCTTGGACACTTGGAGTGACGAAAAGCGACAGCCCAATTTAATTTGTCTTGGAGAAGACAAGAAGAATTTGGTATCTTTTTTCCTTGTAGTGGACAAAATACTTCTTCCTATTGACGCGACAAATTCCACAGAAGCCATTGATCGTTTATTCAAGTCACACTACGTTTTTTCTGCGGAATACGACAAGAATTTGCAGGGAGTCTGGAAATTTTTGCAAGTATTCATCTATAAAATTGATGTCGACAAAACAGATCTCTCAAGGAAAATCAAGCAAGTCTCATCACAACTGCACGGGATTCTAGCGGAAAGCAGATTGGAATAATGTTTATTTGTCCAAGGTGTCAGAAGTTAATTTTAGGGGTTAGTGAGTTTCACGACCATATTAAGTTTACACATAATATTACACATATAAATTTTACTAAATCAATTTGTCCTTATGACGGGTGCAATGTAGAAATATTTACTTGGAGTGGGTATCTACGTCACTGTAAATCTCACGAGATAAGTTTACAACAGGAGAATATACAAAGTCTTAATAATATTTTAGAATCAAATTCAAATGAGACAACCAATTTGGAAGACCCAGAGGTTTTTGAAAACATTACTGTTGATACTTGTATTGAAGTAATTATTGATAGTTTAGGCAACTTTTGTGCGTCTTTGATGGCGAAGGGTGTGAATAATTCCGTCGTAGATTTTGTTGTCAAAGATATGGAGTATTTAGTTACAGAAATTATTGATGTAATTTGTAGATTAGGAACGCAAACATTTAGTAACGAATTTAATCCGTTAGGATCTCAAATACGTACCCTCTTGTCGGGTTTCGGAAAAGTACGTTCTGGTTATCAGCGACAAAAACTTTTTGAGAAACGGGACAGAATTATCTCTCCTGTCGAAATTAGTTTAGGTAACAGAACTGAGGTTAATGTAAGAAATAATAAACGCCAACAAGTAATTGTTGAGGATACTTTTATGTATGTTCCTCTTCTTAAAACACTCGAAAAAATAATTAGAACTCCTGAATTGTTTCAATATTTCAAGACACAAAACTCAGATGACAAAATTATAAGAAATTTTGCAGACTCAGAGTCTTTTAAATCTAATAATTTATTTTCAATTTATAAGAATGCCATTCAATTGCAATTATTTTATGATGACTTCGAGACAGTCAATCCTTTGGGGTCAAAAAAAGGCGTGCACAAACTTGGTGGTATTTATTTCATTTTACGAAATTTTCCAGACTTTTTAAATTCTCAACTTTCACAAATTCATTTACTCGCTCTATTTTACAGCGAGGATGCTAAGAAATATGGATTTAATGCTATTTTAAATCACATTCTTCCTGATATCAGAATTTTAGAAATAACGGGTATATTAATTGGACGGGAAATATTTCGAGGAACAATTTGCTCTGTAGTTTTTGATAATTTAGGCGGGAATTCCTTATTGGGATTTACAGAATCATTCAATTCAAACTATTTTTGTCGTATTTGCTGTATTTCCAAGACAGATTGTCAGAACCAATTTGATCACACAAAAATGTCTATTCGTAATTCAGAAAATTATTTAGACCATTTAAACTCAAAAACATTTGGGGTTCAAAGTCCATGCGAATTGAACACTTTAAAATATTTTAACTTTTTAAATACCCCTACGGTTGACATAATGCATGACCTTCTGGAGGGGGTGGTTCCATACGAGATTAAATTAGTTTTGCAAAAATTAATTTGTGTGGGGTGCTTTGACCTTGAAACTGTGAATCATAGGATTTTGGCGTTTGACTTTGGCTACTTAGAATCAAAAAATAAACCTAACCCTATACGTCTTGATGGGAAAGGAAATAAAATTGGGCAAAAAGCGGCACAAACTTGGTGCTTAATTAGATTTCTCCCTATTATTTTAGGTGATTTAATTATCACAGATGAACATTTAAGATATTGGGAGTTAATTTTGCAATTACTTAAATGCATGAGCATTATATTTTCCAGAATATTTACAGAGACTTTAATTAATAAGTTAGAAGTTGCAATTTCAAAACATCATAACCTTTTTAAAACTCTTTTCCCTAATAATAACTTAATTCCTAAGCACCATTTTATGGTGCATTATCCATATGTCATAAAACAGTCAGGCCCGTTATTATCTCTTTGGACAATGCGGTTTGAGGGCAAGCACAATTATTTTGCCCAGATTGCGCATAATATTAGAAATTTCAGAAATATTTGCCTGTCTCTCGCAGTGAGACACCAGCAGTATAGTTCTCGTGTTTCTAAAAACATTGAATTACATTTTGGTTTAAAAACAGATGAAATTTTTAAAATTAATTTATCCGACTATGACGACTCTTTTGATATAATTGAATCACTAAATATATTTTTATGTACTCAGACCTTGTGTGGGAAGAATGAAATGTTAAGTACAAATCAAATATGGTACAACGGTTATAATTATAAGCGTAGCTTTATTGTGTGTTATGAGATGGGAAATGTTTTCCCAAAGTTTGGCCAAATTTATGAATTTATTTTATACGAATCAAATACTTGTCTATTAATTCTTAAAGTGCTGGACACCGAGTATTTTGATCGGCATCTGTTTGCCTATAAAATTAAGGAGACGGAGAATATTTTTAAAGTAGTCAATGTAAATAATCTAATTACTCATGATGCCATGGAGTTGAAGCATAATTGCAATGTTGCTGGAAATTTCGTGATTTCGAGACATTACTTGTAGTATTTAGATAAGTGGTGTAGTATTAAGAATTTAGCTGTAAATTTTGTCAAATAACATGTTAATTAATATTTGGGTGCATATTTATTTATTATTCCTATCTATGTATGTTTATAAATGTTGTTTTAATTCAAAATAATTGTAATTGCTACGTTAAGCGTTTAATTGTGCAATAAAAAAATATAATTAAACGAGAAACGTTTCATTACCATATTTTCGCATTCATTACTGCCATGGTAATTACACAATACTGCGTGGTATAAATATGCTCAACGCATGCAATACTAGGTGGTATAGAGCGCTCACCATCATTCAATACCACAGTGAATAAGAATAATACCACAGTGCGCACCCCATATAATACTGACACGGTTTAATGTGAATACCAATAACCCCACTATTTTTACTGCTCCGGTATCAGCGACAATACTATTTAGTATTAAATCAATACTACAGCGGTAGAGTCATATATGTATACCGCGTGGTATTGAAATAGTATTGATTTTGTTAAGAGTGTACGTATTTACATACATACTTCACCAAAATGTCACACCACTTGTGGTAATAATCGATTAAACGTAAAAACCAACCAGGACGAAAGGAAAATATCAATTTGACTCCTGACAATAGCCCAAGTTCCGTGCGCAAAATGGCAGATATTCCACCCGACTACAAACAAATTTTGTAATTAATTACAACAATATGCAGATAAATAAGGTTATTCCATCCCGATAAGTGAATCGGATTGCAATGACGTCTCTCAAAGTGGAAAATGTACATAGTATACGTGTATGTAATTGAGTGATCGTCATTATTTAACAAAACCCATCTCTTGCACAACAATGAAGTAAATTCCGCATCAAATCAATCAATTGAATGTGACACCTGAATAAATGATTGCTTGTCAATTTGTTAATGAGATCATGGTTATAAATCTGACACCTTTTTCCATATATGTCTCACTCCTGCGACGCAAGCCCTCGCGTGTGGATAATCGTGAAAAATCGTAACAATGAAGATCGTCTTCGTCCTGGCGGCCTGTTTGGCGGTCGCCTTGTCGACAAAGGTAAACTACGCGAATTACAAGGTTTTCCGTATTACCCCACAAAATGAGGAACAGCGACAAATCCTGCTCAATTTGGAGGAAAACAATCCTGGCGTCATCTTCTGGAAACATGTGAGGAATGTCGGTTATCCCGTTGACATTATGACGCCACCCCATCTTCAAGCCATGGTCGAAGACTTGGCCGACTTTAAGATTGAAGTTAACGAAATGCTCGGGGACGTTCAGAGGTGGGTGTAAAATTTTAGTATAAAAATATTCATTGGCCGCGTAAGGTGTATTGGCCCTCGGGGGAATTAATATTGTGGGATAGAAGTTAGTGGAGTTTCGCAACACTGGTGAAATAGGGGCCATGCATACATATACCAAGTTACGTAATAGGGGGGATGGTGGTACCATGAGGTGCGTTACGGTCTAGTTTCCGCCACACGATAATGGTGGGAGTAACTGCGGTAGGCGGGGGGACAGAGGCGCAGAGAAATGACAATTTTTGTGCCACGTAGTTTCTGGACGGTCCAATTGGACACGTGTATATTTCTGGGGGAGAATTAATGGCATGACCCTCCGGTTCGGCGACATGTACATAATTAGCCAGGTTGGAATCATCAACAAATCTTTGTAACAGGATATTTCCGGTCAATTTGCGCAACATGTTAAAACTGGGCGGAATTAGGTGGATGTGATTTTGGTGTTGCGCAATTTATTAGCCACGCTAAAGCTGACGGGGGGGGGGTCGTTTAAGAGGGTGGGTTAGACGTTGGCAGGGTTACATGGCAGGGGTTGCATAGTAATTTTTTTCATTTTTTTTACAAATTACCCCCGTCTTCTAACAAATTTTTCATTTCCAGTCTTATCGTCGCCGAAGAGGCAGCCTCCGCCAAGGCTGATCCAAGGCTGAGCTGGGATGCTTATTATTCCGTTGATGAGGTGGGTGTGGTTCAACGAAATGATTTAAATAATAAGAATTAATATTTTCAACATTTTAAATTACTATTTAGATTAACGCTTTTATCAACGAGACGGCCGCCGCTCACCCAACCATTGCCACCACGGGTGTTTACGGTAAGAAAATAAAACAACAGGGAGGGTTCACAAATATCGTTAAGAAATTACAAATTCTTAACTAACTATCTCCAACAATGAGTAGAACAAAAGAAACGAAATTACCTATTTTTAACAGGGCGCTCCCACGAAGGTCGGGACCTAAACTATATCAGACTGAATAAGGGAAACACTCGCAAGCCTGTGATTTGGGTTGATGCCAGTAAGTCATTTATAAAAACACCACAAATACAATTTAGTCAAATATGAGATTACACAACCAGTCGGGTAAAGTTTCTCCAAATTTATAATGGCGACTAAAAACTGTTCCAAGTTAGGCAAATTTTACTCAAGGGTTGTAATGTCAAATTTTGCTCCGCCTTAAGTAAATTTCACTCCGATTTAATTACTGCAAAAGATTTACTCCAGTTATTTATGTATTCACACCCTAATTAAGCTTTTATTTATCTAAATTACAGACATTCACGCGAGGTGGGGACACCAACAAATTCACACCTACATAATATGGGTAGCTATTTTTGAAATATTTATGTTAATTATTTAATTATTAGGGAATGGATCACCAACGCCGTGTGCACCTGGATCATTAAGGAGCTCACCAGTGGTGATGCTACCAACTGGTTGGACAACTTCAACTTCGTCATCGCCCCCATGCTCAACCCCGACGGGTACACGTACAGTCGAAGCACTGACCGAATGTGGAGAAAGACACGTAATTAAAATTTCTATCTTGCTCACCATTTAGGTTCCATTTATACTTTTAATTTAAACGGGAAGTTGGTTGGCGTGCCAGTTTGAAATTCCCGCACATATCCATCTTCGCCCCAGTTTGATCAAATTTATTCTTAATTATCACTTCTTCTTGTAGGATCCAACTTTGCTCCAGGATCCACCTGCAGGGGTGCTGACCCCAACAGGAACTTCCAATTCGATTGGAATAGTACGTAATCCACTGGAACTTAACCCAATAAAACCTGTGGTCACAATAAGTTGTCTAAATTTTCAAATATTTCTTCCCGCAGCCGGTGGTTCTAGCAATGCTCCTTGCAGCGACACCTTCATGGGAGTGTCCGCCCTTTCCGAACCGGAAGTCTCTGCTACGGCCGCATTTATCCAGAGTATCGCCCAAACTGATGACCTCGTCTTTTACCTCAGTCTTCACAGCTACAGTCAACTTATCCTTATCTCATATGGAACTGCTCGAGGTCGCATTCCCGATCATAACAGGTGATTTACAAGATATTTGATTCTTGGAGAGGGTTTAATTTGAAAATGGCGCTTATTTGTAGGCACATGACGGTTGGAAATGCAGCCGCCGCGGCAATTGCGCGTCGATACGGGACTCAATTCACCCCTGGAAATATTGTCGAGCTTCTATGTAATTACAAAAGTGAAGAATATTTTTTTTAATGGAAATTTTAATATTTCTGAACTCTTTTTTCACTAGATGTCGCCAGTGGTGGAAGTGGAGATCACGTGAAGGGAATTAACAACCCCGACTTGGCGTAGGAAGTATATAATTAAGAGTTTTTATTTTTTAAGCTAATTTTATTTCCGGGTTTAGTTACACTTTTGAGATGCGAGACACTGGACGATATGGCTTCCTTCTGCCGCCAGATCAAATTATTCCAAGCTGTTTGGAATTCATGGACGGGTTCAATGTCATCCTGACCGATTTGGCTGCCAGACATCCAGTCCCATAAGATGGGAGGGGCTCAGGCTAAATTTCATCTAGCTATGAAGGAAACTATGTGTAGAGATTAGTATCAGAATAAAATAAAATATCCGTATTGCGAAATAATTCAAGACTTTGATTCTTCAATTTTCTTAGTGAGTTACCACAATGGTTGAGGGTACTCATAATCTTCGAAAACATTGCATCGCAACATAATTTGCGACTTTCGCCTTGCCAAATAGTGAGGAGGCAAACATTTTCTCGCAAACTATTTGCTTAATTTCCAAGTACGCCTATCACCAAGGCGACGATCACCTGGAACAATCTATACAAAAGTATACGCACACTCTTTATGTACTTCTTTATATTCTAGGTTTTTGATTATCGACGAGGTCGCGATTTTAGACACTTCAACATTACCTTGTCAAAAAATTCCTGCGAGTGTCAAGAAAATCGGACACGGTCATACGATACATCATTTTTCTTCAAAACGCTTTTCCCATTTAATAAAAAATATTAAAAGTTAAAAAGAATTATTCAGGAATTTTTTTCGAATTATTTGTTTTAATTTCCAGAAATTCTAACCTTTGACCTGTCGATGACCATAAAAATCGACGACGCGTGACTACGCGTCAATGAGTGGATGCTCAAGTGTACAGAGTTTCAGGGTTCCCTCTGCACTGGGTCATGTCGAGATAAGAACTCGTTAAGGGGATGATCTTCATTTGGTCTCACTGTTTGTATCTTAAATATCTTAATAAGCCAGGAGGAAAATGTTAAATATTAATCGATATGTATAATTGATACTGAAAACAAGTCTGCGTTTTACTTTTTTAATAATTTGTTATGGTTAGCTAAATTTTTAGTTTTTTATATAATATGTTTAAACATATTGAGGGGATTCATTACGATTTCTCAGTTTCGCATAGCAAAATAAGTTTTTTAATTGTGCAAACTAAATACTGGCCTTCAAGATGCGAGAAGAACTAGGGCAGTTTAGGGCCTATTTTGGTTATTTCTAAAAGTCTCGGAAGTAAGCAAAACATGGTTTTTCTCTAACTTAATCTTAATTTACAAGCATTTACGATTTTACATGACAAACGGCGAAAAACCCACCCATAGTTCTTTCACAAAATATTTGTGGCGAGTAGATCAATGTCGCCGAAATCGCTGGACACAGGATTGATTACCTAAAAGCGGTATATAAAATCAGAACTCCGATTTTTTTCCAACTTTCTCATGTTTAGGGAACTTCAGATGTTGGTAGCACAAAAGCCGTTTTATATATACCCCACCCCATATTATTTGTTAATAACATGAACGTCACAATATGTTTGACATGCCTGAAGACGGACTGGAAGCCCAAATTGCGATGTGGAAAATCAAAACCTAAAATTTTTGTTAAAATTTCTTATGACTAGGCAAATTCACCGATTTTTACCAAAAAAACTGTGACACACTCCACCCCTGATTTTTTTATATGTGATGTCCCCATACCATAGGTGTATGACCAAGTCAGAAATTGATACGAAACAAACGAAAAAGGCCCGACAAAAAAAAATAAAAACCAAAAAAAATTGACCGCTTTTCGGGAAAAGTTAGGCATTCAAGCAAAATGTTTCCTTCTGTGTGATTTTCATAGGTTCGCATGATGTTTCCTGATGAAACAAGTTAAGCAGCTTCATTTTTTTCCTATGGCGTTGTTAGGAATTATGTTCGGTTTAAAGGATATTCCCCTCCGAAAGACAAAAAACATGATCAGTGAAAAAATTCGGTTTCTGGCCTGGAAAAGTGGTCGGGGGTAATTTTTTTCAACTTTACCTTACTAATTTATAATTCACCTATTACAACCTTCAAAATAAAATCATAAAAAGTTGTGGCCCAAAATAGGACCTAAACTTCCCTTCGCAGATCAATTTTCATTCCAATTCTCCTTTCTAGGTAGCGTAGCTAACGATGCAAAGTCTTCGTGAATTTCCCGATTATGGATTTTCATAGTTCAGAGATTATTTATAACCATCACGTCTCAAAACCAATCTGGTTTTACAAGTATAGCCGATACATCGAAAGGTGGAGTTTGACCGGCTATAATCTGCCGGGGGCATTTCTCATTTTGACTTTGCACGAATAAATGATCAGTAAAATATTACTGAATAATATGGTCACTGAAAATTTACCAAAAACTAAAGGAATAACGGCAAGAAAACTACAAATCTTCAGGTGAGGTTAAACTTTTGACGCGATGAAAATGTGGACTTTTTCGTTTTTGTCTCACTCTGTTATTATATACAAGTTTTTTCGTACATATAACATTAAATATTATTTGATTGTATTTCCTACTAAGTAAAATTTATTTGGTCAAAATCGGTTTACCTTAGCCACAACTGCAAATCCAATCGCATATATCAATCAAAAGTTCATACTATTGGCTATTAAAAACAGTTTTTGCACAACCAAATTTTTAGTTATGTGTTTACTGCGCATTTTACGGGCAGCCCACAACTATAGTGACCCTTCGTTAGAATTAATCGATTATTTTCGTTAGTTTAGGAAGATTTCACCGAGAAATATTTGGAAAATTTAACCCATAATTGGTGGGAACGAACAGTTGAAAATTTTATTATTATTATTTAGTATTAGTAGTTTCATTATGAAAAAATTGTAGACTTGTTGGCGGATAACAATAAACCTCATATTGAAGAAGTTAATCATTTAACAAATAGGTACAATGCGGGTAGAAAAATTGCTGAAACAACCTTTAGATCAGTGTCCGAACCTCTGTACACTACATTCTGTCCAGCAGATATTTATCAGTTCTATAGCAGTTCAATATAAGGTGCTTAACTAAATACATACATATGTGCGGTTATGCTTAATACAATTTAATTTTAATCAGTTAACTTTGATGAAGATCTCTAGCCCTGATCCAAGGCTTAAGAATTATCCCGATACAACCACTAGTAAATAATATACTAAAGTGCCCTGTGGATTTATTTTTGACGTAAATAAAAATGAATTACATAAGTTAATTAATTAGTAAATTTATTCGATAGCATACGTATTTGTTAGGTAATCGTTAATTTAACATCCTTCCCTCACACTTCGCGTAACAAAACCTTCGAAAACTTCACCGTATGTAATTCCCCAATCTCTTCCTTGTATTTTCGATTTACGACAAACCGATTTTCCTGTGAAGTTCTGTCCAGAAAATAATGTCCAGGAATAGTTGCCCGTGAAGTGGTACGATCTAACGCGTATTGGTGGAGACACTGAAGGCGTCGATCCGTTTGCTGTATACCGCATTCCATAAAACTTATAGTAGTCATAAAGATGAATTTCTTTCCGGACCTGGAGTGGATCCCCGAATCGGATAGCGGTCATTCGTTCATCATTCATAGGCCAACGCAATTGTTCACATTTGTCGCCAACTCCACCCAGAATAGTGTCAAAATACCAACCCATGTGCTGGGATATCCTCCACCTATAAAGATAATTAAAAACCGCCTGTCATGAATCGTACCCTGAATATTTGAAATTATTTAATCGTGAACTTTATTTATATGTATAATAAGGCAAAAATCACTACAAGACTGCTAGGTATCCATACAATTTATTTCGCAAAGGTAGAAGTATTTGCACGAAATTATTACACGTATTATTGTATTTTGTAAATAGGGGGTAATAAAATTAAAGTCTGTAGAAATTGTTGCCAAAATTTTGAAACAAATTTTGACCAAAATTAAAGTGCCCTCGCCAAAAAAGTTCTTGGCTTGTGTAACAAATCATTTCTTGAAGAAATGATTTGATATTTTGGCTATAACTGAATCTCTAACATTTAAATTCGCACTGAGGTAATAACTTACAATCCCATCACATTGAAAAAGAGAGATTCCTGGTCTCCTGGTAGAATCAGTTCTTGTTCTTCGTCAATTGTTGAGTTGAGTTTTAGAGAATGGTTACCAGGCAAGCATTTCTCGTTAGTTTGGACCCCAACATATTCGAGTAGATACTGTGGCACGCCGGTATCCAGACACGTGACAAAAACCGTGGTCGTAGCGTAGCAAACGAGAAAATAAAATAATCGTGCTTCCATTATGAAGTTTTTTACTGGGGAAATAGAAAAGTGAATGTGTCACATTTGTTGTAAGATTGATGTCAAGTGGACCAAGTGGTGTCAAATTTATACTAAATGTTGTTCTGCTTTACAGCACGTTGTCATGTTTGCGAGAAAAAATTAAATTAAAATATTTCAACTTGTAAATAGCGAAATATATTTTTTAAGCAATCACGCAAAGAGCGATGGAATCTACGTACACAAAGAATTACGTAAATATATAGTTTTACGTGTATCTAAGTCAAATAATTTATTAATCCTTCAAAGCGGTGGTAAATATTTACTTAATATATGTACAAGTAAGTGGTACTATATGTATATGCAACTAGTTTATTTGACTCCAGGTACAGGCATGAAGAATGGATCAATAATAAATATGTATTCATCTGGTAGATACGGAATCCGCCTATGTGTCCCAATGCACGATTTTTACATTTCCACATCACACCAGGACAATGGACCTTATGGCGTTTAGTTGATTCACCGGTGCCAGCTTGTTGTGCAAATTATTCGACTGCTTACATATGCAGTCTGCTAAAAATTAAATTATCTAAATTTTTCAGTGTCAACAAAATTATGTGACGATCTACCAGTATTTTTTCAATCCGTTGAGATTGTTTCATATCTTTCGGTCACGTACAAAATTCGGGATTCCAAGCATAAAACAACCCGATCGTATTTACATTATTTTCTTTATTACATCAAATATGTACCTTCATACACACACATACGTTCAAAACTTGTAAGAATTGAAATAGGGATTTAAAAAAAATCAGGCAGAACTAAATATTTTCTATAATTAAATATTTCTACAATTTCTACATTTGATCCTCTTTTGTATTACTTCATTCTACAATAATTAGACGAATTTGACTTTTGTGGATGTCTATTAAGGTTACCAGTTTGGGAAACAACCACGCATAATTGCAAAAGAACTTTGTGTGTAATAAATATATATTCTGTATAGCAATATTTACAATAATTTTAGTTTATACATATTATTTACTTATGTTCAAATACGTATTTCATTTGAGTATTTTTATGACGTAGAATAAAAATAAGTACTTATAATCGTTCAGAGTGGAGAAGGCTATGCTAGATTTCTATAAATGCTCGAATAGTTTATGATTAATCTGTTATAAAGAAGGGTCAATGCAGTTGTGGACTCGCGCAACAAAGTCCTTATAACTGTTCCCGCCATAAATATAAATGGCCAGGCTGAATCTGGTCTGCTGGACATGGGCTGATGCTGGTCCTTTTATAAAGACGAGAGACGCTCACAGGTCCCTCACGCGATTCACTTTAAGGTTCATATCTGTACCCACAACTCATATGTACATAGTGCCAAGTTATTTATAGAATTATTATTTCTAGCCTAAACTGAATATGACTTTCTAAATATCGGTAGGCAAAATATATGTATGCATGTAGTATTAGCATGTTTAGCAAATAGGTAAGTGCATTGCTTCTACTGAGGATGAGCCAGCAAACTAACAGGACTTAAACACCATGCTCTCCTCAAGTCTCAACTTATGCAGTTACACAATATTTCGCTAAATACTGAAGAACACAAATACATACATGCACACTAAATTCACTACATTTCAAAATCATTTTATCCAAATTTGGATAGAATGACACATACTAAATTTAAATATGCTTTGGTGTCTACAAAAAATACCAGACCTGAGTTTGCACATAAATTTTTAAAATATTGAATATTTATTTTTCGTGAGGAACAACTTAGGTACACGTATTCACCACAATATTAATATTGGAGTGCACTGAACCAACCTACGCACATGCGATTACCCTAAATATACACATACTTGCACACGATGCAAAACTTATTAATTATTTTCGTGTGTAAAAACTCAAGTTGACTCACCTACGCTATGCAGGCTGCGGAACCGTGGGGTCAATATGAGGAGATTAACAGTGCGGGATATGCTAGTTCAATAACATTACAAGGATGGAAGAATCATGGGAAACTTTGTCTGTGGTATTGCTCCATTGTCCCCGCGATTCCGCAGGCCTTGACAACGTAAATAAATACTACATAATATTGGAGATATAATTCGTACAAGTTCTCCTGTCTATCCAAACCATTCAATGACAAGTTATGTAATACTAAATAAATGCGATAATCATGCTAATGAGTAATTTACAGAAAAATGGAAACTTAAATAGGACAATTCGTTTTAACTTATCCAATGTAAAGTGCAAAATAAGTTCAGAATCTTTCAGTATTATGTTTACTTGATATTCAATGTTATGAATAAGATAGACCAGAAGGAATTCTGCGGACATTGCTAAAAATACTCGATGTGCATAAAACTCCAAATAAGAACACTATTTTTTCCTGCAAATATTCTTTAATAACCATATTATTCTGGATTTGGAAACTTCTTGTATCATGCTGCTTAGTCGTATTCCATACCGAGCTCAATGTTTTTGACCTCTTGACTTTAACTACTTTTCCATTATTCGGAAATATTAAAAACTACGTTATAAAACAACGTTATTAATAAATTTGTATGCATGTATTCAAGGTTTGCATCACTTCAGAATAAATTGGTTGACGTACACATATGTCAAATTAATGATAATGTAACAAATTATCACTACATGCTTTCATGCTGACTGAGTCATTAAAACGATGTTACGTCCACCATCTCCTTTCCATATTTAAATAAATCACCCTTACTTTAACGTCTCACTTAAAAATTTTCAAACAATGGGCAACTTAAGAATTCTACTTTTTAAAGTGATGGCTTTCATAACCCTACTGACAGCAACAATCCTTGGATGGTATGGACATCTCGAGTCAAAAAAAATTTTGGATAACGGGCATAAAGCGGGATGGCAAACGAAGGAAATTTGTACCCTGGACCCGAACTGTCCTAAAAATTGGTTATCGCAGGAACGAGCCTTTCTCGCTATAACTACGATATGTTTGATTTTGTCAGTTATAAATTGGTGCCTTGTATGCTGCAGTAAGGAAGTGGGAAAGTTGAGAATAATGGTAAATACGCTTTTTTAATTTTATTTTAGTTACTTATGTAATGCAATTTTATATTAATTTATATAATTTACATATTTCCATAAATATGTATGTCAGGACGTTATTTACCATATACTGGCAGCAATTTTTCTCAGGGCTGCGGCAGCTTTAATGCTCCTTTCAACAACGAATATCGATGAACAAGTACTTCAGAAATTATCGCGCCCAAATTATCCGATGTCTCAGGAAGTTTCAAGCCCTCTATTCAATTCCTTACTGAACAAGATTCGTCCCCCAGTTCGTGAAGAGATAGCCTGGCCGCCACACATGAGCAGGGAAACGCTAGCATATAAGGAAAAGTTGGCTGGAGGGGTGAGTCGCAAATGGATGCTTAAATAAGCAATAGTTACTTTGATAAAAAATATACTAATTTTAAATCTTTATTAGTGGGTATCTGGCATCAGTGGTCTCCTCCATTTCGTCGTCTTCGTTCTTATACTTTTACATAATAAATAACGGGATTGTTGCAAGGTGAAGTAGTGCGTGAAAATATGCTAATTTATTTATGGTGCATCTGGCTATAAATTACACAAAAAATTTGTCCAAATAAATGTCAAGAGTTGCGTTGCTACACGATTTGCAAACTATTAGTTAGTTTTGTAGAGTCTTGACTTGAAGAATTTGAGGTATTGTAAATATTTAGGTTTCCGACTGAATCGAAAATTCTTTCGGTAAATACTTCACATGAAATTATCCTATTTCTTTCCACAAATATGTTGAAGGTAAAGCAATTAACCTAAAACTACCATAAACTTATTATACAATAATTATCTGCATTTTTCCTACTCCGAATATTATCGGGTTTATGTACCAGACTACGAATTAATTTAGTGTAATTACGTCGCTCGCTGAGTGACTCATTCAATCAAGATCAAGCAAACTGGTACAAACAGGGTAACGTAAATTCCAATTTGTGATAACACAAGTTGAACAGCAATCTCGAGTGGGTGCAAAAATTACACGCATTGTCTCTTACACAACTTGTTTACTCACTTACATTGAAAGAGGTCATTTATAATTGGTCAAGGCAGTCAGATTAAATATAATGATTTGCGGCGAATGACACCATGTTTTCTATATGTAATTGACCTCATATACGCGGAGGTTTACATTACGTCAGAGAGAGTCCAGGACAAGTGTACTGCAATATGAGTTTCCATATTCAGCGAGTGAGAGAGAGAGAAACTGATTTTTTGGGTATCCACCACCACTCTTACCACAGTGCCGTATGAGATTTTCCTCATACGGTACGAAAATTTTCGAGTCGATATTATCATCATAAATTCTGATGAGCAAAAGTTTTTAATTTGGAGCGAAAACGTGATTACGTTTCTTCATCTCATTATTGACTGTCTGTTACGGCCCTTGCCCTAATACGTCACTCGTTCAGAAATTTTGACCTCAAAAAACTCCCTGTTGCGAAACTTTCTCTTCGGACAACAAAAGCTGAAAACGAAGCTTTTTTCAAGTAGAAAAATCAGGCATCAGGTTGTCAGAAGTAAAAGTTTGGCAACAACGAGTTTTTTAGTGATTTATGTGTAGGCCAAAAACCCGCGAATTTTCAAATTTTGAAAGTTTGAATGCACCAAAACGTTGGTAATCATTAGGAAATTCAAAATCCAAATGTTAGTATAGGTCTAATTCTTGTTTTGCCGAGTCTGCATTGGTTTTCTCATGTTTCCCAATTTCTTTCTCCAATTTTTGAAGGGGGTGTGGTTACATATAAGTAGGAAATAACTATGCCACACTCATCCTTGATCCCGAAACTCTACTTGTAATTAGTTGTAATTGTTTTTATTTAATTCGGGATCATCGACGCGGAATGGAACGCTATTTTGGTGTAATTTATTTTTCTCCTTGCTCACTTGTTTTCGTCATGGCAATTGTAATTGTGGTCAAATGTAATTAATCGTAAGTTAATTTATAAGTTTTGCGTGAGTTGCAAATATATACATATATGTATGTATATTGGTTAAAATAGGAGTACAGTTGGGAGGATTAAGTTTGCTTACGAAAACTATCCAGAATTT